AATCTCACTGTACCAGCTGCTGCGGCGGCTGCCGCGGCTGCTGCAGCTGCCGCCGAACTCTCCGATCCCATGCGTCTGCCTCCGTTATTGATGTCCGACGCCATGGCTCCCAGACCAGCGGCTACTGGTGCTTCCCTAGTGGAGTCCAACTATTCATACGCCTCTTTTGGGAGTGGTCTTTTCAAGATGAATTCGGTCGAACACACATCTGCCACCGAAATACTAAACATGAAAACTCCTGAGGCTCAAGGTCTATGTTTGACTGGTGTTACTAACTCATACGACCTAAATGATACCAGCAATCACGTACTTGATTTAGCCAAAGGAATGAATGAAAACCAAGCAACACATACGACAGGAAGTGATCATCGAACGACTGGTCCATCAACCTCTGTCGTGGCTGGTCGGACAGTTGTTTCACCCGCAGATTCACGACCAAGATTATCAGCCTTTTCACACACAAATGGTCTCCCCGGTGTGAATAGGTGTGACCTGGCACCATACACTTATACTCCCGATGCAGGAACCGCATATTGTTCATCCTACTTCGCTCACGAATATGATAGCACATTTACATTAGGAAATGGGGAAACAAAATCCCATTTGATTTCACCATATTCCATGGTGAGCATGGCACATTGCTATGCACCAAGCAAACCGTTTTCTATTTCTGACGCACTTATCCCACCGCAGTTCGCTAGCGGGACTCGTTTCTGCCCTGAAGTGACCGGGGGTTGGTCGCAAAACCACGAGTTTGAGGACGCGTACAGCACGACACATCAGCACTTTTCTACCAATGAAGAAAACATGCTACGTAACCTAGCAGATTCCTCACAACCAGAGTCACAATTAAGAACAATAAGCGGTCCACTGTCATTTACTGCTTCGATGTCAAACCATTTTATGGAAGAAAGTGTTCAAATCAGTCACTCGACGCCAAATTCACGCCCGGTTTCTCAAAAGATATCTGCCACTACCTTAAATGATTCAACTATTGATCACAATACGTTGGGCCAGCAATCTGACAGACTCCAGGACGCACCCTCGTCCAGTTCCTTCATGCGACAAGGATTTCCTGTCGATAGTTCTGAGTGGAATTTGCCAGCTCAGTGGTTTCCTCTCCGACCGGAGACCATGTTTTCCGAACCAAAGGAGGACTATCTTTTCGGCACATCCGGTTATTCATCACGTGCCCAACGAGCGGCAGCGTTTGCTGCGGCCGCTGCGGCTGCTGTTGCGTTGCAGTCGCAGGAATATCGGTTTGGTGCTGCTCAGTATAATCCGATACCTCCCGAACTACATCAACCAGTGGACTCATCAACGGACATAGAATTAAATCTTCCCACTGGTGCAAAACATTCTGTTAATGTGATTTCTTCAACAATGGGTGAGGTGAGCGAGCCACCTTCAGGTACAGATTGCTTCACAATAGCAACACAGAGTCTATGTGTCAATGTGGTGGGCATTCAAAACGAACAGCAAACAAAACAGGTTGTGTCTGACCCAACAAAACCAATACCAGATTCGATGTCAAGTGATGGGCAAAATGCATTCGGTTCCTTAAGCTGCTTCCCACAAGAAACCCAATCAGATGTATTGAATGCTAGTAGTATGTTTGCACGTTACTCGTCCGAATCGCACACACCAAAGCATTTATCAAAACAGGAAGCTGAATCAGTACCGGACAATGTCTATCGGTTTCCGACATATGGCAAGGTTGTATCAGAACGAATACATCCGTCTTGGGCAAATCATATGGATACCGCTGTGTTAAGAGACAGTTCAGCAATGTGGAATTCTGATCCTTCCGACAGGCCGACCATAGATTCAGACTGCTATTCATTGAATGTAGCGGAACACATTGCAAGCAGCACACAAGAGATTCGTTTTAAACAAGTGTCCGAATCATTTTCAAACACAGGAAGTACTACATTAATCGGATCCTCAACAAGTTATGCGGATGGAGGAACCGATCTGGAAACTGGTAATTCACTCAATCCGACTTGTCATGATCCAGTCTTGAAGACCAGTTTAGTTGAGGCACCGATTGACGTAGTTCACTCCGGAGGTGATCCTCCCCTGGTTGCAGAGAGGGCCTCCATGGAAAATGTTGATACCCGGATGTCCGCTGTGGGAACCTCGTGGAGCAGTGAGAATGGCAATACATTCCCGTCACGTGTGCTGTTTATAGGTGCAAGTGAGACAACAGTTGCGAATCAGCATTCGGTACCCGAGATCACGGATATATCTGTCCATTCTCCCTGGATTAATACCCCATAACCAGAGCCCAGTGAGTTATTTATTTATTTTACGCTACATTTGTGATAGGAATAGGATTCAAGTATTGAAATGAATAAAAATTCTATATTAGCACAACAATTCATTTTTGACTTGTGATACAATTGATTGGATAGATTTTCTCAAAGTGTATTGATTCTTTTGATTCTTTTTGAAAGTCATCAATGTATTGAGAAAGGTCTTGTTTTAATCATCCATCCATCCATCCATCCATCCATCCATCCCTCCATCCATCCATCC